TTTTTAATAATCAATCACTCTTTTGATATGTTCCAGTCTGGTTTTAGACCCCACCACAGCACAGAGACCGCTCTAGTGAAGGTAACAAATGACATCAGACTTAACACTGACGCAGGAAAAGTCTCAGTTCTTATCCTGTTAGATTTGAGTGCTGCTTTCGACACTGTCGATCATGGTATCCTCATTCAGAGACTTGAGGACTGGGTTGGTGTTTCTGGAACAGCCCTAAGCTGGTTTATATCCTACCTACAGGACAGAAAGTATTTTGTGGAGATCGGAAACTGTGTCTCAGACCATCTGGCCCTGACCTGCGGAGTGCCACAGGGCTCAATCCTGGGGCCTCTCCTGTTTAATATTTACATGCTGCCTCTGGGTAGGTTAATACACAGTAATAACGTGTCCTATCACAATTACGCTGACGATACTCAGGTCTATGTGTCCCTGACAGCAGGAGAACATGGACCAGTGGACTCGCTCCTTCACTGTATCCAACAGATCAGTGATTGGATGCAAAATAACTTTCTCCAGCTAAACACAGAAAAAACTGAAATTATTGTTTTCGGACCTCAGAAACAAAGAGAGAGCGTTATCTGCCACCTCCAGTCTCTCTCCCTGAAACCCTCAACTCAGGTCAGAAATCTAGGAGTAATAATGGACTCAGACTTGAATTTCAATAGCCACATATCATCTGTGACATCATCAGCTTACTTCCACCTAAGAAACATTGCTAAAATTAAAAACATTGTGTCTAAAGCAGACTTGGAGATTCTTATCCACGCATTTGTCTCCAGTCGATTGGACTACTGCAATGGCTTGTTCACAGGTCTCTCTAAACAAGCGGTAAAACAGCTGCAGTACATCCAAAATGCTGCAGCTCGAGTCCTGACTAGAACCAGGAAGTACGACCACATTAGTCCGGTCCTCAGGTCTCTGCACTGGCTTCCTGTGGCTCAGAGAATAGATTTTAAAGTAGCTTTACTTGTGTACAAGTCTCTCCATGGCCTCGCACCAGGGTACATCCGCGACATGTTGGTGCCTTATGAACCAACTCGGGCTCTGAGGAGCACAGGGACTGGACTTCTGTTAGTGCCAAGAGTCGGAACTAGACATGGGGAGGCTGCGTTTCAGATTCATGCAGCTAGAGTCTGGAACCGTCTTCCCGAGAGTGTGAGACAGGCGTCTACTCTGGCAGTTTTTAAAACTGAACTGAAAACAGTTCTTTTTAGCTGTGCATACAAGTGAATGATTTTACATTTGTTTTTATCTTTAATCTTTTTAATGCGCTATGATTATTTATGATTATTTATGATTGTAATCCCTTGTGTGATTTTAATTTTTTACGGTTTTTAACTACTTGTGTGATTTTATATATCTTGTGCTCTTAATCTGTCTTTTTATGTTTACTTAAATTCTAATGTTTGATGATTTATGCATGATGTTATATGGGTTGTGAGGCGCTTTGCGTTGCCTTGTGTAGGAAAGGCGCTCTATAAATAAACGTTGATTGATTGATTGATTGAATACTAAAATACAGTAGGTGATTGACAACTCAAAACGAATCAGTGCACACGACGGCCAGCTCCGAGTCCAGCGTATGTTTATGGTACGCTCCACGTCCACCACATACCGTTTTTTGCTTTTGTGAGCAACTGAAAGTGTTAGGATGACTAAGAAAAAAATGTTGATGTAAATATGTGACACATTGTTTTGCCCTAAGAGGAAGAATGCAGCTCAATTATCAGGGATCTGAGAAGGAAAAAAACAAAGATGAGCGCGTCGAGGCACCTTTAAAAAAGGTGTCATATTTCACTTTCCTTAATTATTCACAGTCCATTCTAAGCAGATGTGTGATAATAATTTGGGTGATACACCAAACATCACTCAAAACTTGTCCAATTAATGGGCATTTCGTGCATAGAGGTGATATCTTTATTGGACAAGTAGATCTCTGCTCTTCTGTCTGTGAGGCCGCATCCGCGCGGTGACATAGCCTCGTGCCAAGTTTGAGGTAAACAAAACTGTACAGCTTTCGCTGTTAGTCATTTTGGACCTGAGAAAAACCCCTTTCCAGCAATGGCAACCCGTCACAGAGCCTATGTCCTAACCCTAACCCAGAATCAGACCCAAATGATTTTGTTCACAGTGATAAACGGAAGTTAGTTGAATTATACTCACATTCCGAGGCTCCTGTTTGTGTCTTTTATGTTGGAAATATAAGCTTGCATGCTGCCTGCATGCGCTGATTTGCTGGTTCAGTTTCCCCCTGCTGTCAATCACCTCTTGGAGGCGGGCTTTTTTTTTTTTTTTTTTGGAGGCGGGCTTTTCATTTCACAGATTGGCGATTGTCACGATTTGAAACCACTCGTTTCTGTGCCGCTCAAAAACGAAAAGGAAAGATTATTTTCTAAGGCTTGAAGGAATCAATAAGAAAAAACATTCTGGGCATGTGTATGAAGGTCAAATACCACTGAATTATCAGAGAAAAGTAAAAAAAAAAAAAAAAAAAAAAAACACAGAATAATATGCCACTTAAAATCAACAACAAATTGACAGTAGCACATGAAACCAGAGAAATATGAGCGAAGCATGTATTTAAAGATATTTATTTTGTGTGGAATCGCAGCACATGCAAGAATACAGCTCTTGTAAACAAACAAAATCACATGAAAAAAATATCATAAATGTGCTCCGATTCATTTCCCTCTTGCGGAATGTACAGTCAGTGGAAAAATATGTGTCTCACAAACCTTTCATGCGTTTTAAAATTGAAATGGGAACATTTACAGCAGCCGGAGCACAGCACAGGTCAGAAACTGCATCTCTATTTGCTAGCGAATGTTATCTCCCATGTTTGGGAATTGCACCTTTATATATACATATATTATTAACTATATCTCCCAACTTTGTACAGTATTGATTTGTGGTCATCAAAGCCCATTTTGTACAGCAATGAAAAGAGGAAATTAACTTAAAGTGCACTACGGAACCTTTCTGATGGGGGATCTGCTGCTCCTGTCCATGGAGATGTGTGGAATGTTCCAAGCAAAGTTGTTTTAAGAATGATGACAGAATGACAATGAGTAATGCATTTTTGAGACAATTAGGCAAAGGACAATGTATATTTCTTCTTCATGTGTTTCCATTGCTCATAGTTTCCCTCCATCAGAAGTTGCATACTGCCACGAGGAAATTAAGATGAACACAGGGTCAAGCTCGTCTGTCAAATCGCATGTTATTAACGAGAGACACATTTTGCAAAGAGTTGACCTTTGTGAGGACTTGTGTTGACGTACAGCGCCTTGTGAAAGTGTCTCTACAGCATATAGGTGTGTTACAACAGTCCAGTCTAAGTTCAGACCCAAATCCAGAAATATATCCAAGTAAAAACATGACAAAAAAACTTCACAAATCAAATCTGACGGAGCAAGAGTAGTTTTGTGAGGGCACAACGTTGGCAAAACTTTAAACTTCTCGATATTCAAAACTAGACAAGTTGAATTTCAAATTACTTTCTGATGAGAGTATAAATATAATGCTGACCGGTCACTCATGGTCTGTTACTTCGTTGTGACAAAAAGTTGAAGTTGAATTCACTTTTGCAAGGCACTGTACATTTCAGTCAAAGAACAGTGTTCATTTCATAGTGGAATTGGTGTTATTTGGTTTTATTCATAGTGAGCCATTTCATTTTTGTCATTGTTTTGTATGTCCAGTTGTTAATAGGTTGGATTCTATTACTTAAAATAATCAACCACTCAGCAAATCATGTTTGAGTGAGTCTAAAAAGACTCAAAAACAGTAAAAGGGCAAGCGTCGTAAAAGCAGTACATTCCTGTCTGATGGCTAAATGTTTAAGTTTGTATTTCTTGACACTGCATCAGATCTGAAAGAACTCGGATTAAAAATTAATGTACAAACTGTGCAGGCTCAGAGTAATGAATTTGAATACAACATTCATAAGTGTAGCATGATGCTTGTGTTGGCTTTAGAGAAGTTTGGAGTGCAGTAGGAACAGCTCAGGCAGCTAGTCCTTTGGAATAAGATAAATGAATTAGCAGAATTCAAAGATGTGTAGCGCTGCATTTGGCTTCTTTGATGTCCGTAAGTCAATATCAAATGTAACATGGGATTTCTTAACTGGTAGTTTTTATTGTGGTGTTCACCAAGTTTCTGCACAAATTTAGCTGAAGTACATATAGAAATATTGCTCAAAAACATGTGGCTTATTTGAGAGTTAGAAAAATGCTAATGATGCCAATACCACATCAATTTCTTTTTAAAAGATCTGTGTCGTCGAAGCCACTTGTTTAGACGCTCAGTGTGATTATACAAAGTTTGTGAACAAAACATTCCCAGTTTTGACAGAAATAAACAAGCCCTATATATGGACTGAGGGAACGTCAGTAGACTTAAAAAATAGATATTTACAATATCAAACTATAGATTCCAGACACCATCTTGGTAAATACAAGCTCCCATTTTTAACAATTAGATTTCTAAAGAGGCACAGTAGTGTTACTGGGGATAGGAATGCACGAACACCATAAAGTCAAGAAAAGACTGTTGATGACAGATACAGAATAGGAAAACGTTAGCTTAAATCATGTTTTTAAAATAATTTGATTTGATTTATAAAAAAGAAAGGCAAGAGAAGCAAGCACCCCCTGCTATCCAATGTCAGTAGTAGTGAGAGCGAGCCAGTCTGCAGCTGGACAGAGTTCAGCAGTATTCTGATTAAGGCCGCAGCTTGTGTTGGCAAAAGACAAAGAAATATCTGAAAGAAATGTCAAGCTTGAAAAAAAAAGTGCAAAATCGAAATCTTACAATTAAAGAGTCTATTTTTGTAGAAAAAAAAAAAAAAAAAGATTTTTGTGCTGGAGGTGGTGGTCCTGTCAGAGACTGGGTCCATCGGAAGAGCTGCAAAGCCCCGCCTCCAGCACGCTGATTGGTCCACACATTGAGAGCTCATCGCCAGGCTTGAGAATGATTGGATATAAGCTTCACGTCAAATGGACTGTCCGCTTGAGTTTTTCTATCTCCATCTGGAACAAACAAAGAACAGGCATCTCATCTATATTTGTGCTGGAAGAAACAAGACTGGAAACTGACACTGGAGCACAACAGGGAGGCCAGACACTGGACATGGGTTAGAAGTGAACTTGATAATAGTATATATCCATCCATCCATCTTCTACCCTTTAATCCATTTCTGGGTCAGGGGGGTGGCAATCAGAGATGCCACCCAACTCTCATAGCACCAGCCCCTGTGTATATAAACAAATCAAAATAAAAAATATATATATATTTTTTTCTTACATATTTTTTTTTTTTTTTCAGATTTGTCCAACTCTTTAAAAATCAAATACACAATTTACATTTTTTATTTTATTTTTATATAAACAAATCAAAATAAAATAAAAATGTAAATTGTGTATTTGATTTTTAAAGAGTTGGACAAATCTGAAAAAAATATGTAAGAAAAAGTAGCAGCAGCCATATTTCTGATGTTATAGCTCAAAAGTATGTATGATTTGGTTGGACGGAGTGAGCACAGAGCGTTCACTGTACTGAAAAACTGGTATTTTTGAAGAATTTATGTAACCTTGTTAAATGCTGATAGTGTTTTTTTGTAATACCGTATGTGTCCTTCTATATGACCAAATTTGACTTTTTCAAGAACGCCAAAGGGAGGGACCCAATAATTCAGTATAAATCAGTGGAGAGGATGCGTCATGTTCAAGCTAAAACTGAATGAGGAGTGCACAAGTTAACAGAATATAAGTATAGCACTATAAAATACAATAAAATCTCTTTATTAATTAATCAAAAATACAACTCACAAATAGCAGGTTCAAAATACCTCGTCAGTGTAAATCATGATGCAAAAATTGTAGATGAAATAAACAACCAAGAGATCAATGGGAAAGTATGGTCTTTGGATCCTGTGTTTTCTGTCAGATTTACTTTCTTTTAATAAAGATTGCATCGTTAGAGTCGTTAAAATGACCAAGCTCGCATCTCACATTCCTGCAGCTCTCCTCTCCTCCTGAAAACAATACTTGGTAGTGCTGTGATTCAGAGAATTTATGGTCATCTGCAGTAACCCGTGGCTGTTCGTCAGAGCCCCGGTGTGAGGGCCGTACGGGGCATCGGTGTGCAAACGGTGGGGGTCTCTGAGTCTGTGCCTGGGACCACGCTGTGCAGAGGTGTCTCAGAGCTGAAGCCTATACTCCGACTGCGCTTAGGTTATGTCTGCTCCTGTCAAGGCCAACACGCTCACTGCTAACATGAGGAGGAGGAGTGCTTCTTAGTATTCACAATAATCCTGTCCCTCTTTCACTTCTGGACGTGGAGTCACAACCCAGAGAAGACGACTGGATCAAAGGCAAGAAAAGCCGCAAGATGTAAACAGAAGCATTGTAAGTGATAAAGGAAAGATGTGAAAGAACCTTTCCTGCAGCCTCGCTTTCATCCAGGGCAGATCTGCTTAAATAAGTAACAATGTATTCTTAAATGTATGTCTCTCCTACTTCTCTCGTAAATGTAAACAACTGTCCCTGCACCGCATGCGCTTGGAGGCTATAATGTAAATAAATGTCCCTTCACAGCACGCACGTTCTGAAGAAGCTCCCGCACGCTGCACTTAGGAAATGAAGTATCACAAGCGCGGAGTAAAGAACGCGTGGAGGAATGTGGCGTCTGTGGGAGCTTTAACCCATATAGAGGTCTGACACACCCTGTAAAACAGAGCTGTAAAACCTATGGCCTTCTTTAGAACCATCCTCCAAAACCTCAAGTTTTCCTGAAATTCAACGTCTACTAAATGATTGATATCTCGGCCTCTGCAGTAGATAGAAAAATAATTCTTATTGAAAGCCACAAGTGTCAGCTCTCAAATTATTTTGGAATTGAGAGAATTATTATAAACCTTCGGTAGAATAAAACAAAAATATACAACTTTCACACAGGAAAGATTATTAGTCTCACATTATTTTTGGTTGTTTAATTAATATTTATCAACACAATAAGTTAACTAGAATTTGGCAATAAAGTGGCACTGACTGTGTGAAAAAAAAAAAAAAACATTCCACTCTCAGCCCTAAAAGTCAAATAATGACTCACGGGGCTCTTTCTTCAGTAACCAAAATAAAAAAACAAGACTGTTTTGGTTTGTTCTGTTTGATTTGGTCACAACATTCTACTTTTGTGCACAAATAACATGCATTATCAATGCAAGCATAAATGTAGGTGCCGGAACTTTAATTCAGTGAGTTTTGGCTGCGTTTCAGGATGAGACTTGGTGGGGGGCATTGGGGAGAGACGGGAAAGACAGGCAAAACCTGCATGTGCAACAAGCTGGGGATGGTCTTGATCACACGTTTATGGTTCTGTCCGCACTCGGATAGAGTTTCGCTTTTCAGCCTGAGCAGGCCCGAGCCCGACCGCGAGTTCGGATATGCATATATGTATTTATTAATAATAATGTCCGTTGATTGACAACAAGTTATTAAAAAAGTTAATATATTTATAACATCGTAACCGGCGTGTCCTACAGCCGCAGCAGGCCCTGAACGCATAATCCCTGTTTTTCCTGTTGAATGATACGGTCAACAGCGAAAACACGGAACAGAAACAGAAATGGATCAGGTGGACGTACAAAACACATTCAGAAGTGGCTAAACTTGCAATTGGAAGATGAGTGCGTGCAACAAGTGAAATCAGATGTGTCGGGCTTCTGTCGGGCTCGGGTCTATTATAGAGCGTTAATTGGTCGGGCTTATACGGGCTCGGGCTTAGCATTAGCGGGCTTGGGCCGGGTCAGGCTTGATTTTTCAGGCCCGAACGAAACTATACGCTATGGTACATTACCCTGTTACGGCCGTGCGTTCGCTGAGCTGCGGCTGTCGGTATACAGCAGCTCCCGAGGTTAGAACGGAGGATGTTAATATCGTTCGAGTACGTAACGCAAACAACAGCCCGCGGTCACGAATTTGACAGAAATGATATTTTCAGTGGGAAGAAGTCGGAATTTGCAGATCCGCAGAAAATTCTCATCCCTGGTATATCCTGATGCATTTCATTGGTCCAGAGAATTGATCAATGAAGAGAATTGGTCAAAAGATAAACAGACTGTGTGTCCACTTTCCCAGCCTTAAAGGTAGAAGTATGCAACAGCGCTCCAGGCTTGAAAGGTAGAAATGCGGGAATGCGTTGCCGGCCTCAATGATTTAACAAGAGACAAGAACACAGAGAGTAAATGGATATAGGCTAAAACCGCAATGACCAGAGTCTGGATCAAGACAGTGCCCCCTGGACATGGAAATACAGTAACTAGGGATGCACCAATGAATCGGCCAATGTTTGCCTTGTTAACTACCATGGGAAAAAATAAAATCCCCTATGGTAAGCACATGCCTAACATTGAGGCCGATAGAGGTATTAATTAAATATATTTATATAAGATAATTACTATAATATTTGTTCACAATCAGTACATCCCTGGAAATAAATAAATGTTGTCCCTTAGGGGACAAACATGTATTCTTAGAAACACAAGAAAGTACTATGCAGCGAGAAAACAGGCCAGAGAAGTGAATAAATCTCCTTTAAAGACCTTATGACTGGTTTGATTTATTTAGAAATACAGTTTTAATAACATTTTATATTAGAAGAGAACTACTAAAGGTTTCAAAATCAGTTGTTATTTTTTTTGTCTGATCCCCCCAAATCAAAATAACCCCATAGCAACGCCCTTAGAAACGAAAAAACTTCACAGCCCTTGGTGACGTCAGAACGGGTACGTTTCAACGCTGTAAGTTGTTTACAATTTGGTATTCGTTCTTTTTTCGCGGATATTCAAGATGACAAGGCCGTGTACAGCGAGTCTAACATAACTACTAGAATGTAACATTTTGTTGCCACTGAGATAGTCCAGTGGTTGTGTCGATGGACTGCCAATCCAGACACTGGGGTTCAATTCCCACCACGGACACTTTATCACTCTCAAAACGGCAATTTATGTGTAGTGAGCAATTGTCACCTGTAGAGGGCAGTATTGTGTTGGGCATCAGTGGAGAGAAGAGAGAAAAGGCAGTCCTGTGGCATTGATCCATGGTTTTCAATGCATGGGCGTAACCCGCTGTGACGTCACACACAGGTTAGAGCATAGACAACTTAAATTCATGAAAAACACGTTCTTTTTATAAAATATAGGATTTTTTTTGCCGGAATCTCTTTCAAATTGACATTGTCATGCAATTTTGATATCCACTTTTTTTTTTTTAAAAACCCGTCATAAGGTCTTTAAGATCCTGTGAAAAGGCCACACTCCATTTGAGCATAACACCTATTTATAGAAATTATAGACCCTTAATCTCATTAACCTTGAGGTAGAAATAAAGTGATTTGGCCCGTGATGCAGGGATTGTGTCTACTGAAGGTACATTACATTATTTTTGGAAGAGTTGTTTTTATCCTAGTTTTGTATAAACACTGTTGTTTCCCCATATATATATTTTAGGCCAATAAATTATTATGCTCCCGTGACGCGGAAGAACCGTTTAATAATAAAATACACTTATTGCGCACCTCCATGAACACATACTACTGTTATATAAAGTCTGTGGAAGGTCCTCCATATTACATATAATTTGGATTGGACTCCCCAGTAGCACAAATAGTAACTGCGTTTGTAAAACTTTTCAGCTGTTTTAGGGCTCCTCTTGTATGTGTATTAGCAGGTCTGCAGTTAACATATAATTGGCGTAGCATTAAAATTGGACTATACATTCTACAAGTTCCAAGAGGCATGGAAATGGTCAGTGTTCATAGTCTGTGTAGCTAGTCGGTAAGGAAAAGGTATTTTATCTAAAAAAACTGGAGGAATTTTTAACATTAAAAAGATGTCTTACTGCATGGAAACTTTCACATGGTTTAACCCATTAAGGCCTGAAACCCCTGGTAAAACAGACCTGTAAAACCTCTGGCCAACTCTAGAATCACCCCCTAAAACCTGAAGTTTTCCTGAAATTCGATGATTGATTTCTCGGCCTCTGTACCTAACCTAATTCAAAAGAATTTGAGAGCTGACACATGTGGCTTTCAATGAGGAGAGTATTATTTTAAACCTTCAGTAGAGTAAAACAAAATATACAACACAAGATAATAAAATAACCAAAAATAATGTGAAACTAACACATTTCTCAATACAATTTCAACAAGAGTTTGGTAATAAAGTGGAAAAATGTTTTTAAATAATCACTCTCGGCCCAACTTTTGTGCCACATTAAGGTCTCACATTTCACAGAAATTACATTTTGAGCGAGAAAAAGTTTGAATTTGTGGAACCGCAGAAAATATCCTATTGCATTTCATTGGTCAAGAGAATTGACCAATGATAAGATAAATAAGATAAATAAAACCGACGTGTCCACTTTCCTGGCCTCAATGGGTTAAAAGGTTGTATTGTATTGTATTGTATGTACTTTATTTGAACAGGGACAGTGTACAGTTAAGCATTAACACAAAACGAGAGATGCATGTATCTTCAAATCAAAAATATTATCACACTCTGACCAATCAAATCAGGTCATCCTACTATTTTTGCTGAACTTTGCCTCAGTGGGTAATTACTGAGCACTGGCGTGTTAAGAGTGGCTGTGATGTGTGCAGACAGGCAAACGTGCAAGATTGATGGTACCTGCAGAGCCATGCGCTTGTGCCGCTCCTCATCCAGCTCCCCGCGCAGCTCCGACATTTCTTTCCTGGAAAAACGGACAGGTAGATTTATCAATACACATGTGGTCACTTCACTTTCAACATCAAAAAAGGGATACAAGTTTACTTCAAGTGCATAGGTCAAAATTATCCAGCAATAAAGAAAATACATATTTTATAATTGAGATCTGGAGTTCTAGGATGATATCACACTCAAGTCAGAGTTAAATAATTACCGCACTTTCTTTCTAACCTGTCCAAATTGCAAATGCTTTTTTACATTTTCACAAAATGACAGTTTTTGCCCTGCATTCAACAAGATTTCCAGTGTTTTCCTCCAACACTGAATAGGCAGGGCGCGGTGTAGCAGCATATTTGAATAAGAAGTTTAATAACACAAAGTCACATAATATGGTTAGGATTCACCCCCTGCTCCAAGACAAGTCTCCCTCAGGAAATGAATCAATGAACGAAACTGAAATATTTTGATGAAATATGAATGTAAATTGTTTAATTCATTGAGTAGTCTGTTCATTTGTGGTTTACTTTTTCACTTGCGGCTCATCGACACAAAATAAAGCTCTAAAATGTATTCAATGAAACTCATCAGTGCAAACACTAACATTTCTTTCACAATCAAATTATACAAGTCTATAACTTGGTTGTCTGTAGCAACATTGTGTAAAATTGAGGATTTGCATTGGATTCCATCTAAAAATATTGGTGTAGTACCGAAGAACAATTGAAAATAATATTATTTCAAATGAATATGCCCAAGACAAGATACATGTAGATTGTCCCATTTCTGCGCGCTGCCTCTGTTTGTCAGGCTCTCGGCAGAAGGCCTGCCTGCTGCCTGCGTGCTGATGCACAAAACCTTGACCTCTAAATGTGTCTGTATAAGGATTTTTAAGTGAGAGGTTAAGTCATCAGAGCCGTGGACACATTTTGTGTTTGCTAGAGTGGGCTCAGTCTGAATCTTAACAGAGAGTGGACGTGGCTGTCCAGCTTTAGTTCAAGCAGAATTCTCTCACAATTGTTAATACCATCATAATTCCTGCAAATGTAGACATGTGAATAAAAAAAAAATTACAAATGTTTTTCTAATTTGTTTGATTGACACTTCAGTGCATTTTCAACTTAATACATCAGTAGAGACTAAGTGCCCCAGACTGCGACTCCAGAGAAAATTTATTTGGGCTTACAGCACTGTCATTAAAAACACTACAAGTCCTTTTTAATCAATAATTTTATTCGTTCTCATAATCTTGATCATGGCTGAGACTTGGCTTGACCAAAATACAGGAAATGCAGTTTTAATAGAAGCATCTACACCAAATTTCAAATTTGAATCTGAAATACGTGAAAACAAAAAGGAGGGAGGCAAAGCTGACCACTTTGTCTCCCACATAATGTCTCTTGGGAAGATTTCATCATTTGAATATGTGTCTTTTAAAATACAACAAAAACAATCTCCTCCAATACTCTTCATTGTCCTATACAAGCCACCGCAGTCATGTCACAGCTTTTTAGATAATTTTACCGAGTTACTTTCTGTTGTATGCACAGATTTTGATAATTTAGTTATTACAGGTGATTTTAATATATATGTGGATAATGTTAATGAAAGAAATGCAAAAGAGCTGAGTTCTGTTCTTGATACCTTTGGTCTCACTCAGCACGTGAGTGGCCCCACCCAAAGCAGAGGGCACACTCTAGACCTGTTATGCCTCTTTTCCACAGTGTCAGTACAATACGGCACGCTTCAGTTAGCGTGCTTTTACATAAAAAATAGTGCCTCCTTGTATCTCCTCAGCGTTGCCAGACCACGTAATTTACGCGTGACGCGTAACTAGTAATATTGGTGCGTGCATGGAGTTATTTTAATATCCGTGATAGCAGGGGAATTACCTCCCAGGGGACTCTGCTTAACCCCTGCAGAACTGGCTCCTGCAACCTTTTCAGGACACAGAGTGACAGACTAACAGCAAGTATTTCATAGAAAATTCAGCACAGCGCAAGTGGTTATTGAAAAATAAAGGAATGGCTCGGACACTGAACATGTGAATTCAATGGTGCTGACCTGCTGTGCTCTGTACAACCCACAAAACCACGGACATTCCTGTAGCAACAGCAGCCTGTGTAGCAGTGGTTGCAGAGGAGGGGGGCTATCCGATGCATAACGTCTGCCTAAACATTTATTTTGACCAAAAATAAAACCTTTGTATTTACCAAATCTCTCCATTCTTGTTCATAAATGTATCACGGTTATACAGATTTACTGACAAATATAATGTATGTAGTACAAGAACATTAGTATAAGGTAGAAAATCGTAACTTGTCCGTTGATATATACAGTCTATGGTCCGTGAGGATACGGCCTGGCAATAGCTAATGCTAGCGCTAGCTCGAGACTGGATTGCTCGGAGACGCAGCTCTAACTCACTAACCCTGGATTTCAACGCTACAACTATACTACAATTTAACGCATCACTATCGTCGGAGAAGGATCCAGGGTTAAGCCATAACCCTCGCCATATGGCAACTCGAGCAGTACAGGACTGAGGGAGAGACAGAAGCAGCCATAGGGATAGCGAGTTAGCGGCTATGCTAGGCTAGGCTAGGCTAGGCTAGGCCTCGCACCAAAATATATCAGTGACATATTAGTCCCATATCAACCAGCCCGGACTCTGAGGAGCACAGAGACTGGACTCCTGTTAGTGCCCAGAGTCAGAACTAAACATGGGGAGGCTGCATTTCAGATTCATGCTGCCAAAATCTGGAACAATCTTCCTGAAGATGTGAGACAGGCCTCCTCTCTGACAATGTTGAAAACCAGATTAAAAACTGTTCTGTTTAGCTGTGCATACAACTGAGGGATTTTATATTTGTATCTTTTTTTGAATGTACTGTGATTATTTATTATTTTAATGCTATTTTGTCTTGTTCAGCACTTTGAGTTGCCTTGTGTATGAATTGTGCTATACAAATGAACTTGCCTTGCCTTACCGAGACTCAATATCCAAAATGCAATGGATGTGCAGCTCTTATAAACCCACATGTTTAAGTGCGTACATGATTGTGTACAAGTGTGCGTACAAGTGTGCGTACAAGTGTGCGTACAAGTGTGCGTACATGTGTTTTAGGGGTCCAACGGATCGTAATGTTTCTCAAATCAAGAGTCATGGATCGGTTAATTTTTCGGATCAGCGAAAAAGTAAAGAACAAAATAAATTTAGTTTTGTCTTTCTGTTTATTAACACTTTCAAATTATTACTTTTAAATGTATACAATTAACTTGTTTCATACTAATTAAACTCAGTGTTATAGAAGGACAAGGATAAACACTTAAAACTAGGTTTAAAATAAATAAAACAAACATTGGCATTGAAAATTATGCCCTGTCACTTTAAGAGTATGACAACAAACACTTGCATACTTCCTGTTAGCATTAGCTGTAATTTTTGTGCATTCTGGCATAGGGGCTTCTTAAATGCTGCGGTGATAAGTGGTTGTTGAGCAGCTTTTGTTTTCAATACGGTTAGTGAAAAGCCGGGGTGATGTCGCTTCAAATACGTGGCCATGTGGACAGTTTCCACAACCAACCTCTTTCCTTCATCAGCATATTTGACAGGGAAGCCAAAATGCTCCCATACAGGGGCTTTAAATGATGCAGAGTATTCAATCTCCTCCGTTCATTCGCTTCCCATGACCACGCAGTCATGTGCACAACTTTTTTTTCTTCATAAATGAAGAAATGATTTATGATGATCCGTAGCACCACTAATGTGTGTGTACAAGAGTGCGTGGATGGCTGCAAGTGCGCGTGAGTACATGCGTGTGTGCGTGCATGCATACATGGGTGTGTACATGCGTGCGTCCTTACATCTGCTGAGCCTTGAGCAGCTCCACCGTCAGCAGCAGTTCTTTCATCTGAGCCCTAAGTTCCTCAAAGCCACTTTGCTCCTCAGGCTCCAGGTCTGTGCCCTCTGCGGTGGGGCCTGGAAGGGAAGGCTTTGTCTCGATCACAAAACTTTGCTTCTCTTGTGTCTGGGACTGTGTCACGGTGCTGATGGAAGGCTGGAAACAAATGTGTTTGTTAAATGACAAGGTTACCTGTGATGGCTGTCATACATGAGCAAGGTGAGCTAAGCCCTTCCTCCAATTTCATAGAAGACACAAAATGAGGGCTACTTGTATTATTTTTTGTGTTGCCTGATGTGAAAAATCTTTTCAGCAAAGAACAAAAACAGAACCTCATTCACTTAGCAATTAACAGATGTTAGTCCCGCCTCCTACATACTATACACACTATTCAAGGTAAATTAATTTAGCCACAAATTCAACGTGTTCAATGTGGGCAATAAAGTATACCTTGACCTGAATCTTCTCACCCACATGGGTGAAATCATTGTGTAAAGATGTCAGTTATCAATTATAGAAAAGCAGTGAATACAACAACGTATAGAATTGCCATACCTTGAAGAAACTAATTTTTGTTTTGTCCAGATTGTTTAGTTCATATAACTTGCCTTTTTTATTTGAATTTGCAGGTAAAATAATCTAAGATGCACGGTACTAATCTGATGTGAAATAGGTTCCAATGTAACATGACTACATACATCGTGAGTTCGTCCTTCAATACCCTCACAGACACAGAGCCACACCATGTGACCACTTACAAAAGCATGCCATTTCCTATTAGGGCTCCAGAGTGTATAAAATTGACTTGTGAATGTATTGTAAACAAATTAGCTTTTCCAATTTGCAGAATAAAACAGGTAACATTTGAATTAAAGTAATTAAAGTTTATTTATTTTTTTATATATTGGTCATATACACAATATGAAACCATCTTGATAGAATTTGACTTTTTCTTACCCTTTTGGTTTCTGTTAGTTTTGGCTTGGCTGTCCCCTCTTCATCTATCTTGAAGAACTTCTCCACATTCACTTCCTTGTTGGGCTTGAACACATGAAAGCCCAATGTTATTCTAAACTTGGGACAGTTCAAATAAATGTGAGAAGAGTACGGTGCTATTTTTGGTTAATGATTTCTGTCAACTAAACAACCACACCTATATCTAGTGTGTGTGCGTTTATGTGTGTGCGTGTGTATACGCTTTTGTTTGTGTTTCTTAATTGAAAATAAATTACAATTGTATACAAATAAAATGAAACCATAAATTAAAGCCGCAATCTGCAATGAAAGCCCCAGCCACTCTCGCAGCCGCCTCCCGGGCGCTAGTCCCAAAAGCGGCATGCCGTGTACTTGCCGATGAATATGCAGCCTGATAGGACCAGAATTAAACACAAAAAAGATGCTGGAATTTTTTTTTGAGTTGATCAAAAGTATGGATATATAATATATTGCGCTTCAGAAACCTGAAGTGCAATTACATGGAGTACAGACTAAAAATTTGGACACACTTTCTCATTCAAAAAGTTTTTTATTGTCCTGATAATGAAAATTGTAGATTCACACTGAAGGCATCAAAACTATGAATTAACTCATGTGGAATTATGTACGTAGAAAAAAAAAGTATGAAACAACTGAAAATTTGTCTTATATTCTAGGTTCTTCAAAGTATAACCTTTTGCTCTGATTACTGCGTTGCACACTCTTGGCATTCTCTTGATGAGCCTCAAGAGGTAGTGACCTGAAATGGTCTTCCAACAGTCTTGAAAGAGTTCCCAGAGATGCGTAGCACTTGTTGGCCCTTCGCCTTCACTCTGTGGTCCAGCTCACCCCAAAACCATCTGGATTGGGTTCAAGTCCGATGCCAGGTCATCTGGCCCAGCACCCATCACTCTCCTTTTTGGTCAAATAGCCCTTACACAGCCTGGGTGTGATTCTACAGTCAATAGTCATGAAAAGAAAGGAACCTCATTGAATGAGAAAGTGTGTCCAAACTTTTGGTCCGTACTGTACTTCTCATTAGTGCCATTAGAATTTAACAATGTAACCTATCAAAGAAATCCATATTTTACATAGGTGAACATACAAGAATAAAGTTATCATTATCAACAAGATAATTAAATAAAACCAGTTCCACTCCTTTATTTATCTCGACAAACAAGACAGAGTCTTACTGACGCAGACTTATACAGATTTGTGTTTGACAATGGAGCTAAATGGTCTTTTGAGTACATTAAACAAATGTTTTAGATGTTTGAACAAAAGTGTTTGATTCTTGTTGAGTGTAGTAACATCGAGCCTCACCGAGATTGGTCCAAACTGTGAGGGCGGTCTCTTCCCAGGCATCTTTGGTCGATCTACAGTCATGTGTGAGAGCTTGTGTGAGGTAGACATCATATCATCAAAACTCATCAGGTCTGGAATTCAACAGCAGAACATCGTCAAATTTTTAAGAAAAAGACTAATGTGTTGTAAAAGATAATGCCACTGCCATACACAATCATATAATCACCATAAGCACCAGAATACTTAGGAGACAATGTACAATATATTATGGCAATGCAAGTTCTCAGGTGATTGCAGAAGAAACTTAAGTTGCATCTAATATGGTGAGGTATTTACAAATGTAACCTATAGGTGACAGTGTTTTATACAGTGGGGCAAAAAAGTATTTAGCCAGGAAAAAAAATTTGCAAATTGTCCCACTTTCATCATAGTTGAAAGTGGGACAACTTGAGTTACTGATATAGTCTTTGTTACTTTGGTCCCAGCTCTCTGCAGGTCATTCACTAGGTCCCCCCCGTGTGGAGATCTTGCGTGGAGCCCCAGATCGAGGGAGTTTACCAGTGGTCTTGTATGTTTCTTCCATTTTCTAGTAATTGCTCCCACAGTTGATTTATTCACACCAAGCTGCTTACCTTTTGCATATTCAGTCTTCCCAGCCTGGTGCAGGTCTACAATTTGTTTCTGGTGTCCTTTGAAAGCTCTTTGGTCTTGGCCATAGCAGAATTTGAAGTGTCTGTTTGAAGTTGTGGACAAGTGTCTTTCTTAATGATAACGCGTTCAAACAGGTGCCATTAATACAGGGAATGAGATGAGGACAGAGTCTCTTAAAGAAGGAGTTACAGGTCTTTGAGAGCCAGATATCTTGCTTGTTTGTAGGTAACCAATTACTTATTTTCCACCATCAATTGCAAGCAAATTCTTTAGAAATTATTTTCTGGATGTTTCAATTTCCGTTTCTCATAGTTGAGGCTATGATAAAAATTACAAGCCTCCCTCAACTTTTTAAGTGTTGGCTGACAAGAATACTTTTTACCCAACTGTAAGAGATACAGGACTACTACAATCAATGACAGAAATTTAAAAAAGCAATATATGTAAGTAAAATGTAGGGAAATGTCTGTGGAAAGCAAGGTCACTGTATGGATAGTGTCCTGCATTCAGAAGCAATTTTGCATGATCTACAGTGTGATGTCTTGATCTAAAAAGTGTGTTTCTAAAGTGTTTTCAAAAAATGTATCTAAAATCTGATCTAAAACATGATGTGTTCCAAAGTGAGATGATATGTTCTTGTGACAGGGTGAGCCCGTCCCTGAGCACGCTGTCCCAAAGAGAGCCTGTCCCATGGTGGCTGCGAGCCACGCCCAAAACCCCATTAACTACTGCTGGTACAAGGACTGTGTTTGTGATAGGTACATGTCTTCAGGGTGCATACTTGGAAGCATTGCACCCTGCAGTTATATCTCGCTACGTATGTCATTTGACTTGCCTGAGTGCTGACTTGTGTGTGTTTTGTCAAACCCGGACATTCGTGAGCCACTGGCTTAAATGGACATGTAATTTATGATAAGATTGATTTGTAATGTGGGAGGGGCAATCAAGGTATTTAAGATGCACTTGTGACTCGATTACACAGAAGATAACGTGGACTGCAGGAGCAAGTGTGAAAGTTACGGAGAAAGAGAATTATAGTAGAAGTTGTGCTTATTTTTGTTTGTATATATCCTTTTTGCCTGTAGACTTCTCACTGTGCTCTGCAAATACATTTTTGACATTTCCCCACTGTTATTCTACTGAGAGCAAGTAAATAAAGCGTAATATGTCCTGTTCTAAAGTGTGACGTTTTTGAAATGTCGGCTTCCCATCCGGCCAGTATCTTGGCATGTTAAAATTACTTTAAAGGCTTTTGGCTCAGGGCTCAGTAAAGGCGTGTATTACTGTGCTAATGGTTCAAAATAGCTGAAATGAAATTGAAATGTTATACAAGCAAAAGCCAGATACAAGGCTTTACAGAACTAAACTTTCATGATGGAATGTGTGTGCACAGAAGGACAGGACTGCAGAAGAGACAGGCTCAGAGGAAACTTAAGGGACTTGTGTAATAGCACTTAGCACCTTTTCTCTGACCAGGGTTGAGTCCTGCTCCATCTGTGACCTACTAAATCCCAAGGCTCCTAAGATTGTTTTATCACCTTTTTTATCATGTTTTATCTGAAATGGTTCCAAACCTCTAGAGCAGTAAAACTACAAAATCCTTTTCACATCTTTCTCATCATTCATGTCCCCAAGATCTCAAAATGCAACACTTCAATACACAACTCTAAACTAATGCCTCACAAAATCAATTTTTTTTGTTTTGTTTTTTACACATGATGTATTGGATTATATGAGGTATGAAGGTTATTTTGTGTTTTTATTATCAACACTTTTTTTTGCTTTTGAATTCTATAAACTGTAACAAAAAAGTATTCAGTGTAAATAAATTCAATGTTTTAAAATTCAGTGTCAAAATATTCAATGTTTTAAAATTCAGTGTCAAAAAATGTGATGTTTTAAAATTCAGAGTCAAAATATTCAATGTTTTCAAATTCAGTGTCAAAAAATTCGTAGCATTTTTTTTCGCTGCTTGAAATGTCATGCTTTATTTCCGGGTAAATCAAGACAGAAGCAATCGATCAGCCAATCCTCAATAGATGTAGCCAGGGCCAGAACACGACTTTGGCTTTATCCGAATGTCCACACTATACCGTGCGGGACTATTGTGAGTGAGTGACGCTGCACACTATTATCAGGCCGTGCTGTTGTACGTGAGCGTCCCGCTGTAGCATGGATCACGGAGCGGAGAGAGGAGCGGCCATGATGAGGTAAAGGTAAAAGTTGAATTTACGTTCTAATTAGGACATAACATGTATTAACATTGGGAGGTGGGAAAGGCAAGGCAAGGCAAGTTTATTTGTATAGCACAATTCATACACAAGGCAACTCAAAGTGCTGAACAAGATGCATTAAAATCATAAATAATTACAGAACATTAAAACGAAAGATAAAAATATAAAATCCCTCAGTTGTATGCACAGCTAAACAGCACCGTTTTTAACCTGGTTTTAAACATTGTCAGAGAGGAGGCCTGTCTCACATCTTCAGGAAGATTGTTCCAGATTTTAGCAGCATGAATCTGAAAAGCAGCCTCCCCATGTTTAGTTCTGACTCTGGGCACTAACAGGAGTCCAGTCCCTGTGCTCCTCAGAGTCCGGGCTGGTTCATATGGGACTAACATGTCACTAATATATTTTGGTGCGAGGCCATGGAGAGACTTGTACACAAGCAGAGCTGTTTTAAAGTCTATTCTCTGAGCCACAGGAAGCCAGTGCAGGGACCTGAGGACTGGACTAATGTGGTCGTACTTCCTGGTTCTAGTCAGGACTCGAGCTGCTGCATTTTGAATGTACTGCAGCTGTTTTACAGCCTGTTTGGACAGACCTGTGAGCAGGCCATTGCAGTAGTCTAACCTACTGGAGACAAATGCATGGATAAGAATCTCCAGGTCTGCTTTAGACACTATGTTTTTGATCCTGGCAATGTTTTTTAGATGGTAAAAAGCTGCTGATGTTACTGATTTGATGTGGCTATTAAAATTTAAGTCTGAGTCCAGTATTACCCCTAGATTTCTGACCTTGTTTGAAGGTTTTAGGGAGAGAGACTGTAGATGACAGATGACGCTCTCTCTTTGTTTCTGGGGACCAAAGACAATCATTTCAGTTTTGTCTGCGTTTAGCTGAAGGAAGTTGTTTTGCATCCACTCACTGATCTGTTGGATACAGTGAAGGAGTGAGTCCACTGGTCCATGTTCTCCTGCAGTCAGTGAGACATAGATCTGAGTGTCGTCTGCATAGTTATGATAGGAAACTTTGTTTCTGCGTATTAACTGACCTAACGGCAGCATGTAGAGATTGAACAGAAGAGGTCCCAGGATCGACCCCTGTGGGACTCCACAGGTCAGGGCCATATGATCTGAGACACAGTTTCCAATCTCCACAAAGTACTTCCTGTCTTCAAGGTAAGACCTAAACCAACTTAGGGCGGAGCCAGCGACGCCAACCCAGTCCTCTAGTCTCTGTAAGAGGATCTCATGGTCGACAGTGTCAAAGGCAGCACTTAGATCTAACAGGATTAGGATTGAGACTTTGCCTGCGTCAGTGTTCAGCCGGATATCGTTTGTAACCTTGACAAGAGCAGTCTCAGTGCTGTGGTGGGGTCTAAAGCCGGACTGAAACATATCAAATGAGTTGTTGATTATAAGAAATCTAGTAAGCTGTAGGTAGACAACTTTTTCAAGGACTTTCCCCATAAATGGCAGATTTGAGATGGGACGATAGTTGTTAAGTACCGTAGCATCCAGACTGCTCTTTTTTAGCAGGGGCCTGATGACTGCAGTTTTCAGGGCCTTTGGGAATATTCCAGAATTAAGGGACATGTTTACTATCTGTGTGAGTGAAGGTAACAGACTGCTCAGAACAGACTTTAGAAATATAGTGGGTAGTACATCCAGGCTGCATGTGGAGGAGCTCAAACTGGAGATTATCTCTTGGACAGTTTGATCATTTACAGGTGCAAAGTAAGTTAGCTCAAAGAGCCTTTCTGGCTGTTGGATTGTTATCTGTGGATTGGGGACAATGGTGTTTTTGATGCCTTGAACCTTGTCATTGAAAAAATGTGCAAACTCATTACATTTACGTTTGGAAGTAAGCTCTAATGGCATCTGAACAGGGGGGTTTGTTAATCTATTAACTGTTCTGTTAACTGTTCTGCGTGTTCTGTAAACAGAACACGCATATTGTTGCTGCAGCCTTCAATCATTTCAGAAAAATACCTTTCTCTCGTACTACGTAGCACCTGGTTAAACTCGCACAACTTATCTTTGAAGATCTTGTAATCAACCTGGAGGTTGGACTTGCGCCACTTCCGCTCGGCCCTCCGGCACTTTCTCTTCAGTGCCCTGACCGAGTCTGCTTTAGCCCACGGCGCCTTCTGCTTATTTTTCACTATTTTAACCTTCACAGGAG